GAAACTTAATTCGCTTCATTCTTCAACAAGGTTTTAGGCATATAATTTACATGAAATGGGGAACTACTTAAAAGCATTATTTACGTCTGTATTACAGTCCAGGTGACCTAATGCTATGGAGTCACATAGATAAATATCTTTATCGTTTGTACGTTTGAGCAGAAGAAATCAGTCGCTAAGCTCGATAACTTTTTAAACAGCGTCAAGAAACTTTATAATTTCATTTATAGGTTAAGTAGAAAGACATAACTGTTTCCTTATTGATGCGTTCAAGGTCAACTGTTAGTCGCACAAACGATGACAAAATTCCATCATTTTGTTGAAACTTTTTACGGCAAGCAAAATCTATTCAATCTGAAATGCAGAACACTGATTGGACACTTTTCCAAATGATGGTCAAAATAATCACTTTAATCCAGGTAATTTGGTTGATATAGTATAGAATTTTCAGCACATAACATTTCAACATATTTACTGTGTGTACAATATTTTTAAACGTAATATTTGTCACATCTTGGTAATGTTAATAATAACAACAGTAATACATACAGGTAATTATCTGAAGCAACCAGCCGTTGTTATAGTTGTCGTTTGATGCAAAAGAGGGAATGAATAGAAAAGCGTACGTAAGTTTTGCTAGTGATAGTGTCAGCAGACCATACAGAGAGGATGAAACTCTGAATTTTGAGCTAATTATTTCAGGAATAGTTGTATGATGCAGTTTTATGCATTTAAAACCACGAATAAAACAATTTTGAAGACAGCAATTTGATGTAATGAATAGGTTGTAAAATATTTGGTAGCCTAAAGTTCAAGCAGATCACTCCTATAGTTTTTCATTAATAATAATTCCCATTCATAGAGTAAGATATTTGCTGAATATCTCCTTACTTTTAAATAATTTTCCAGATGTCATCAGTTCCTAATGAAAAGTATTATTCGATAGCGTCAACCGACAAGTAATTCGGCAACTGCCCCAATACTATGAAATACCACAAACTTTTATTAACCTCATTCAACAACTATGTGAAGATGCCATATGCCAAGTAATTCATAATGGAAAGCTCAGTAATGCCTTTGAAGCGAAGACAGGAGTAAAACAAGGCTGTCTACAATCATCTATTATCTTCCTGATTGTGGTCTACTGGACTGGACTAGATCATGCAACAAACCATGAGGAGCGAGAAGAGGGGGATACGCTGAACCGGGTAAACGATCCTAGAAGAGTTGGATTTAGCCGATGACTTATGTCTAATATCTTGTCACACAAACTTGAAGATCTACAGGCAAAATCTAACAAGTTGACAGAAGAGGTAGGGCAGCGAAGACGGGACTTCAAGTGAATGTAGAGGAGACAGAGGTGATGATGGTACCTAACCAACAACAACAAGAAGCTCCAATCACCAGGCGTTCATTAGCCTGAAACAAGTGTGGAGATCATCTGCACCCAGCATGTGGAACAAGATCTGGTTTGTCGACACCAATGTCAAGTCAGTGCTTCTATATGTTTCGAAGACTTGGAGTGTTACGAAAGGCATTTCCAACAAACTGCAGATATTCATCAACAACTGCATAAACTGGCTCATTACTGAGGCTCAGATAGCCAGAAATAGTAAGCAAGAAGGAACTGTGGGAATGAACTAACCAAGAACCCATCACTAAACAAATAAGCAGAAGAAAGTGGAGATGAATTGGGCATACACTGAGAAGACCATTCGGGGATGTCACGTGCCAGACCAGGCACTCTAGTGGAACCCAGATGGGAAACGACGAGTTGGGTGTCAGAGGTGAGGGTGACATGGAGGAGATCATGTGAGGAAGAAATGAAAGATTGTGGGCTGTCTTGGAGCCAGGTCCAGAAGATTGTAGAGAACAGAGTGTAATGGAGACGGGCTACTGAAGCCGTATGTTCCACTAGGAACCGAAGGGATAAATAATGGGTGTTCTCAGCATTGCGCATCCATGACCTTGCCAGAGATTCAACCTAAAACCCTCTGGAATATAATCGCCTACATTTTTTTACTTCTTTCAGTTAGAGATATAGTGCAACCTTCCTTCAGTACCATGGTTGAGTATTAGTCCCTACCTTCAACTTGGTTTATCTTATCGGTTTAGAGTTCTCCAATATGAGGTCGATCAGTAAAGGAAATTACTTTCACTCTTGAATATGGCTTTTGTCTTTGGGGTTGAGCTATAAAGTTTAAACGTCTACCGAATTTTATCTCGACCATATTCACTAAACTATGCACTAAATTGAAGAGTATCAATGAAACTACTTCTCCATTTAGAAAACCGATCCTCTAATGGGTCATTCTGTTATTAATGTAGAATTAAGTCAACTTTAGATTGTAGGAATATGACTGAATTGAACAATGAACAGTAATGAGACTTCAAAGCTGGGATCTTCTATATTGACTATCGTTCCAGATGTACATACGGAATCAGAATTTATTCAGAGTTCTTTTTATACACATACACACAAACTCAGTAATAGATGGAATCTAGCTCAGCTTGGATTGAAAAATTCAACGAAAAAAGTGGTAGTTTAGCAATTAATGTTCACAAAGAAACTATCACAGTTGAATACATGTTTGGATTTTTAAATAATTTCACCATATATCTGTCAAAGTAGGTTTAATGAAATGTAATTCGATTTGGGAGTCTGTAGGGATTTATTGATTTGAAGTTGTTATTCATCATGGACTGATATGAATTGGAGGACCAGTGAGGCAAACCTGGTGGCCGTGAGGACAAATACGCAGCAATGACATTAGATGATGATTACGCTATGTCGTGAAGTGACAGAAGTTAGAAATATGAACCATTAGGTTCTAACCCTCTGGCTAATTGGTGATATGCTGGCCACGGAAGCTGAAGGTCGTGTGCGCATACTTCTGAGTAGTCAAATACTAGAACGAAATATATGTCCAGTGCCCTCAAGTTTCCAATGTTCCCCCAAATGATGTCAGTCCATGGTGAAATAAAGATAGGACTATGACGAGTTAGTCAGAAATTCTAACTAAACCAGGAACTAAAATACATTGGAGAAACACTAACACTGAACAAATACACTCTAAAGGTTATTAGAAAGTTGATGATAAAAACTTATAGGATAAATGGGAATAATATTAGTGGGAATTCAAATCCTCTGTAGTGTATCCATATAAGGAAGGCATAATACAAAGTCTACTTAAATCCGGCAATCCCTATAGTCGCTTTTAAACTTATAAATCCACTCAGAGAGCAACTTTGCAAGCCGAAACAGCCAGTATATCCAACGAAACAAAATAACCTAATCTATCATCTACGATGTAATGTTTATGTAGTAAATTAGGTAGGTTCAAGTAGCCGAGTGAGGTCAGTTAGGATAACAGGGGACAGAAATTTAAGAAAATAGACAGTGATTCATCCTATCGAGGAGGAAATTTGGCTACCGCTTTACTTGTACTAACTCTCATAATCATAATATGAATTTGGTAGAGATGATAGTTCTGAAATCTAATTTAACCTTGATGAAATGAAAAACTTCGCTCATCGACATGAAACACATGAAAAAAATGAATCATCAAAGACTACTGATATCTGGAGGATACGAAATAAAAAAAAATATATTACTACACGACAGTCCAAGTTGTAAAACGTCGTATTCTCATATCAAGGTAGGAGTCATTCAGATGAAAGATGGAGAAATTAGGGAGATAGTAGGCAAAAGCGGTAAAATAATGTGAAAAGAGAACAAGAGGGAATGAAAAATTAAAGAAATTCCGTGAGATCTTGAAGGTGAAGAGGATACACGAATACATATGCACCAGTAAGGTTGATTTCAAGCCTTGTCATCTAAAGTCTGTGATCTCTAATTTCGGTTGTCTCACGTACCTAAACTGAGAAGGCTACATCTCCTTATGAATCGAATAAAATCGTCGTTTTGTCATGATATCCGTCTAACAAATACTAATGTACGCCGATGCGGTACAGGATAATAATTTTTGTTATGTTGCCTAGTACTCAGTTATCAGCAGTTCCGATCAATTAAATCTGTTTTTATGAACTTTAGTGTAATGGTTAATGACTAAAAACAAGGCAGCATTAGACATTAGCTAGGCGCCTTTCAGTACTGATAAGCGAGGAATATATATAACCGGGAAAAAGTTGATCATTATACTTTCTCATGATAAGGATTTTTTTTCTATAGGGTTACAAGTTTGGCTTGAGAACAACTACTCAACAGTGGCATAAGATGAAGATTACCCTGTATCGTGAAACAGTAGAATCAGGAAAATGTGAATTCCAAGCCAGTGGCTCAATGGTGAGGTCATCGCAGAGAGAGATGAAAGTCCTGGGTGGGATCCTTGAAGAGATCATTGGTGAGCGCTGCTTAGGAGACCTATACCAATACAAAGTGGTTTTTCACTACTATCATGTTTCCAGTAGTTCTCTCGGTGATCCCAGTCTGTGATGAATAGCACTTTGGAAAACGATAAAGCTTCTCCAAACTCATATTTCTGAGGAAAAGGTTTCAATAAGTCACTTAGCTGAATATGAGTCTACTCGGATGAAAAGAACAATGAGAAAAAGACAGAAGTAGGTGAGATCAAAAGTAAGAGGAAACTACTGTTGTATGTGGAATATTTTCTCCAAGTTGGAGAATATATACATCTCATGACTAAGATGGTCACTTGAAGGTTTATTCGAGTTGTCAGTGTTTTGAACAGCCTAACTACCACAATTTCATGGAAAACAATATCAGAGTAGAAAATATTTCAGTCGGAAGAAGTCAGGATTGTTTTACTAAAAAGTAAATAAGAGTATAAGAGACTGTGTTAGCCATCTTTATGGAATGCTTCTTTTTATTTGTGATGTCAAGAGGAGTAAACATTTCATACCAAAATAGTAAGATGATGAATCGTGTTTCTTTGATATTCCCTGGCTGTTATCACTTTGAAGCACAGGGAACAAATTCTTCAATGGCCAAAGAAACGTAAATATTTATCTATACTCACGCTTGTATCATACGCTCCATATTTTCATATTCAACTTTAGCATGACTAATTTCTTTCATAATTGCTCTCAGCATATCTTCAAACTCTGGTAACAGGTGTGAATTAGCCAACTTCATGTATTTCCATATATGTTTCACTTGTTCATAACTGAAATAAAACAAGGAAAAATAAATAGGATACTATGTTAAGCGAGATTTTGGCGTCTAACAATAATTCAAATTACATAATCGGTCCAATACGCTTTCAAATAAGCTTCATTTCATTACTAGGAGACAAAGATCAATTTGTTATCGATGCGAAAATGATGCAGCCGTCTAGTCCCAAGTGTTCAACACTTGTAGAAGTCTGTCGATCATTTCTTGCAGTGTGGCCATTGATCAAATGATGCGAAACTCTAGTCTACTCTGTTGATAGTGGGTGATGATTGAAGGTGAAATGGAAATTTGGACCACTTCAGGATTTGATCCAATGATTACTTGGTTTCCCTCCACCGGGGTTCTACCAATTGAACTACTTGGCCAGACTGCTGATTAAATTTATATTACACTTTAATCTTCTCTGTCCACTCAATCTACTCAGTCTACTCTGTTTGGTGTTGAAGGTTGGGAGTTAGCCAGCAACAAGTCCTGTTCAAATTAGGTTTCGTGGGTTTTGGTACTCATAAAGAGGTCGTATCTGTAAGCGTCGGAGCACTTTTGTTCCCCAAGAGACTTCAAATTTGTCACTTACTCACTGACCATGTATTTGTGTGCAAAGTCTAGTCCTAAACAGAAGCAGCTATGGTCTGATTAGCTTTGTGTTGAGTTCTCTGACATTTCCGCAAACAGTGAAGCGGGTTTGAATATCGGTCTCTTCAGGGTCGCAAATCCACCTCGTTGATGAGTGACAATGGGCATGAAATCTAACTCTAGCAGGAGTTCCCACTGACTGACTTCCGGAATCTCACACACTTGTTACCATGTACTCCATTTACCCAAGAAGTAATTTGTTCCAGCTAATAAATACGTTATTATCAAGCTACCTTACTGTTGGCGTAGTGAGATTAAGAAGGAGGATTAGTTTGTAGAATGCTAATTCTGAGACTGAAATAGAATATGAGTACAACTTGAACCCTATGTCCCACTAGGAATCCAAGGGACAAATAATAAAAATACAACTTGAGCAATGTCGTAGACCGTAGTGCATACATATCACTTCGAAACAGTACTATTGATATGTAATAGGAATGACTCAGCACCTGTCTGAGGTATATGGAAGGTTCTATTACCCACTGTACAAAGGAGGGACAGTTCTATTCTTATAAAGCATTTCTGAAAGTTGTGAAGTTACCTTCATAGGAATATGGAGAGTAAACTATGTTCGAAGTGTGTTCCTGATAATAAAACCCTTTTTACTATGTGATACCTTAGATAAACAAACCGAGATGGAATAGCATTTGGAGATTTTTGGAGAGTTGATTGATTTCAAACTGGATTTTCATCAAAATTCTATTCATCAGAGAACTACTTAAAACCTAGGAGCAGTAAACAGCTAGAATCGACCTTAAATATTTAACAATTTAACCATGACGTAAACAACAAACGTGGTCATATAGTCGATTCAGCTTCATAAAACGTGGAGAAAGTCAAAGATGTTGACCACGTTTCAGGTAACATGACAATTTCAAAATGCTTTCTTTCTCTTGATCTTGATGATCAGCAGAAATATCCAGGATGCGCGTTTTTTCCTACTTGGGATTCGCCAGATGGATGTGCCTGCATCATTGTACTGAGTGTTGTTCTCAGTGAGGCTCGAACCCAGTACCCATCGCTTCGAAAGCCGGAGCGTTATTAACTAAACCACTGAGGCACAACACCCATATCTTGTACAACGGGTAACAGTTATTGTTGCTGTAATGATACTTGCAATTTCATGTTGCTATACAAGGTCGAATTGCTCGACCTCTGTTGGCCAGTGGGCTACTTTGCCGACACTTCAATACTCCCGGATATTAATGTTATAATGATCTTGGTCACTAGCAGAGAAATCCAGGACCAAGACCAATATAACATCATGGATATCCGGAAGTATCGAGACATCCGCATAGGAGTTCATCTGCCAACAGAGGTGGAGCAATTCGGCACTGTATAGCTTTCCTTCTCTGTTTAATTTTACCGATACGGGTATGACCAAAGAGACAATATTATCCTCACTGACTTATTATGTTAAATGTCTTACTAACAATAAACATTCGCCATGGAACCGTAAAATGACCTTCAGTTCACCAATAGGAAAACAGTCACTTCTTTTTAGATTTTAGTGCCATAGTTATAGGAAATTACAATGGATATAGTTTCCTTATTATGTTTAGGAACTTAGCTAGGTTTTTCAGTGCTTCTAACGGCTTGCAATAATAGTATGTGTGAAAAAGACGTTTGTCCACGTGACTCAATAACATAAGGTCATATGAACTATGGTATGAACATAAATAAGGTTCAAGGTAATGTCATATCACCTCTGCATTAGTTGTGTAAAGCCCTGTAGCACGATCTGTGATTTACGGTATAGACCTGTGCATTTTTAAATGTAGAAGAACAAGAATTAGGTCCCTTTTTCAGCTCCGGTCACGAAAGACTATAGGGTCTAAAAGCGACTCATGGTAACCAGACCAAGTAGTGACACCATTAGATGAAAACTTTAACTGTTAGTCTAAGCTGTGTAGGGAGGTGCAAATTGCTTGACTGATGTCCTTGGGATGCTAAAAATCAGTGGTTGATGATTCATGGGATCAAGAACGAAATTCTATCTCAATGACGCAGATATGTTCATTCTTTAACGTCTACTCAGACTTGAATGTTTTCAATGGCCTTCATCTTTCAAATTCCATCTCTTCCCATACACTTTTGTGTAATTTGATATCTCTACATCATTACTCACCTGTTCTGTGTATACTACAGTGGAGTGTGGCAACTTGAACCAACGCACTGGTGTGCGAAATTTCATATTTGGCTGTTTTAACCATCTATCTGTCTATATCTCTCTTTCTCACTCCTTTTATTAAAACAAATCATCTTTATGAAGAATATACATTGCATTGCTGAAGTTGATGAATACCATATTCCGACCCAGTGACTTGATTATGACGTGTTCGTCTCTAGACCTTAAGGTCCTAAGTAGGATCCCTGGTACAGTAACAGGAGCAAACTCCTGAGAAGCTCCGTGCGAGGACCAACAGCTATGCAGTGTTCATTTATAATGAGTGGATCGTCACAAACCCACAAACTGAAGTTACTGAAATTTTCTACATTTAGGTAATCATACAAATCAGCATCATTTTGTCCTACCTTTTCAATACATCTTCTGGATCTAAAGATGCTATAATTTGATCATACTGTTCATCAATTTCTTCATCTAATTGAAAGTTGTTTGCAGCCTTGTCTACCAGGAAATGACCTTTTCAATAAGTTCAAAAAGCCAAAGAAAAAAGGAAATACAAACATGTTAAAAATGATCACATATATATATATATATTGATAGATTGATAAGGTGAAAGTAAAACTTCTAAAAGATATAATTTCAATAGCATTGCAGAGTATCTTCAAGGTGCTTGTAATATGGAATCTTTCATTTACGCTTCTTTCATCATCCTGTCAGAAATGTGTTGAGTAACAATGTATTTTACAAGAAATTATTAACCTACATTACAATGATAGCATTCATTAAATATCAGTTAGCAAAATCAACAAATCATGTGCGGATCAAATTGCAACGCTACGCTACGCATCATCATAAAACAGAGTACAGAATGGCAGTCAACTCTCTACCTCAACTTCATCGACTTTGAAAAGGCCTTCGACAGCTTAGACCGACAAGTAATTTGGCGGTTGCTTCAACACTACGGAGTGCCACAAACCTTTATCAACCTCAATCAACAGCTATTTGAGGACGCCACATGCCAGGTGATCCACAATGGGAAGCTCAATGGCGCCTTTGAATTGAAGATAGGAGGAAGACAAGGTTGCCGTCTACTATCCCCCATGATCTTCCTGATTGCGGTCTACTGGACTGGATCATGCAGTGAACCGTGAGGAGCGAGAAAATCGGTATACATTGGCTGGACCGATGAAAAGAGCCTAGGAGATTTCGATTTCGCCGATGATTTGTGTTTAATGTCGCAAAAACTTGAAGATCTACAGGCAAAAACTAACAAGTTGATAGAAGAGGCTAGGCAGCGACGACGGAACTTCAAGTGAATGTACAGAAGACAGAGGTGATGAAGAAACCCAACCAACGGGAGAAACCTGAAGGAAGTAGTCTCTTTTACCTACCTAGGCAGCATCATTTCAACTACAAGTGGCACAGATGACGACGTCAAAACCAAAATCGGAAATACGGCAAGACAGGCTTCCACTAATCTGAAATCAGTGTGGAGATCTACTGCACTCAGCACAAAGATCAAGATCCGGATTTTCAACACCAATTCAGTCAAGTCAGTGCTGTTATATGGTCCAGAAACTTGGCGATTCACGAAAAGCACTTCCAATAAACTACAGGCATTCATCAACATCTGCCTACACTGGCTCGATACTGAAGATTAGATGAAAAGACGAGAAAGAATAAGCAACAAGGAACTCAGTATGACTGGCAACAAACCAACCAGGGATCTATCACCCAACAAATGTGCAGAAGAAGGAAGTGGAGATGGATCGGGCATACACTGAGAAGGCCGACTGAGGACATCACCCACCAGGCTAGGCTGTCGAGGGAAATCCGAATGGGAAATGACGAGTTGGGCATCTGAGTCGAGTGTGATATGGAGGAGATCATGTGAGAAAGAAGTGAAAGCTTGTGGGCAGTGGTGGAGCGAGGTTGGAAAGGCTGGAGAGAAGAGAGTGAAATGGAGGCGTGCTACTGAAGCTTTATTTTCCACCAGGAACCCAAGGGACAAATAATAAAAATAAAATCAACGAAAGCAATGAATGCCTTATTATTTCCCTTTTCTACTCTGGACTCAACTGGTTGAGTTTTATTGACATATATTGGTTCCTATGTGGATTGAAAGTGAAACATAATGAATAACATTGCAATATGGAGGCATCCTCATAAAAGCCCATTCACCAACAGTAGTTGATCAGTTCAGCCCAGAATAGAAACTGAAAATTATAAGTATCAATAAGTGAAAATTCTTACCCACTGAACAGAAAGTAGCACTCATGTCTCAATGGGCTAATGGATAAAGCTCTAGAGGTTGAAGTGGTGGGTGGAACGTGTTAGTCTCAGTGGTCGTAGGTACACTCAACTGACGAATCCCAAATGGACTACATGGAGATCTGATTACTCGATGCATCTAATCCAGTTCTACAGGTGCTCTACTGTGACTCAATTAGCTGACAGGTGATGTCGCTATCTGTAGTAATTATGACACGGCTTCAAATATCTGGGGGAAATTGGTACCCTTGAAGGTTGCAGTTACACCTTGATGAGAACTGCCGACAAGCGCAAAACCTGGGTGGAGCACAAAAAGCCAAATAATAACACTGGGAAGTCATCTAACCGATTAACATGCTGAAGCATCATTTTCTATGACTCCTCGTTTTATCCCGCTGATTTTATGCTAAAGTTTCTTAACTTTGATTTCCTGATGGTGAATAGAAGTGAAACCCACTATGCAACTTTCATTGGATTCGAGTTTGGTCAGCCTGATGTAAATGTATCCCAGTGGGTGACGATGTTCACACTGAGACTCAAACCTAGCATCCATCGCTCTGAATGCTACAGCGTTATCTAATATTCTACTTAGTCAGAAGAGCCATGTTTTATGAAACGTATGTCATTTATTACTATTCGTTGATATTTGAAATTTCCCGTTCTTATACCTGGTCGAATTGATCAACATATTTGGTACATGAACTCCTATGAGAAACAGACGCTTGTCGGGGATTCCACTGATAGCTATCATCAACAAATTACAAGATGATGAACCTACAGACAATATGGAGGAATCCGCGCAGGAGTTCATATACTAACAGAGGTCGTTCACTTCAATCCAGTATTACAATGGGAAATAATAAGTGTTGATAAATAACATTCTCTTACGCGTTTTCGGTTTGCCTTAATCTAGAATAGTGTAGCCAACCTTTTTTGTGTATCTTCCACTACAAACGTCGTCATATTTCTTAACTTAAACCATTTATCCAATAATCTTATTGACCTTGTTATTTAGTTGGCTATATATATACTATGCAGCCAAGCTAAATATTATGAAGAAAACGAAACCTAAAGTCCAAAATAAACCTCATCACTACACAGATAATTAAGTCGCACTGCGCTGTGCATACCAATTGACATGTGTCTGCCGTGACTCATACATTTGGAGGAGTAATCGAACTATGAAGTTGAGAATGGAGGAGTGTATCCCTAAATAGTTAGGAAAACGATTATATTGAAATAGTCCAATAAATACAGGTGGCAGACAGACGTCATCTCCTATAGGTCAATACACTGTCGATACAGGTCACAGGATTGACTCCAAAACAGGCTTTAGACTATTAGTAGGGGCCATCAAGACTATATAATTAGGTTCATTCAAACCTTAGCTCTACTAAAGCTCAAACCACCTTTGTATATTCAAAAACAGTTTATCGTTACCTTAAACCTTTCTTGATAATCTTTATCTCATTTTTATACCAGGAGAGGTGTGAAAAAATATATTTGTATATATATATATATATATATATATATATATATATATATATATATATAATCCCCGTATCTTCGTCATGAAATTGTTTCAGATGCATGGCTCGAATACATTACCCATTTCTCAGATAACCTCCGTCTTCTTATTACGGTTTTTAAATTTATCAAAGGGATCAATTGTTTCACGCTATGTTTTTGTTATTCATCGGTTACTGGATGGTGTTTTCTTGCATGTATCAGTACAGTTTGCTTGCACAATGGGGAAGAAATGAGGAGGCCTCTTCTTAAATTCAAAACCGCCTCCTGTTGACTACCGAAGCGTATTATTTATTGTTTTTCTGAAAGATATAAACTCTGCCTGAATTGGCTCAGTGGTACTGTTTACAAACTGAGATCAAGTGTCTGAAGCCGAATACAGTTTGTTGGACAGCTGAGCTTCCTATTATTGTATAACTGTGTAACTTATACCAGGGCACTGAAGGGCATCGAATCTGTTTCACTGATTTTGTGAACTAGGATATATTTGTCTTCGATGCATTGCTCGTGTTTATTGGAATCACCGTATGAGCAACCTTGAGGTCAGGAAAAGGCTACTACGCACGACACATAAGTCAATTGATGAGTTTGTGAACCTTGGTTAACTGAGATGGCTTGGACAAGTGTTACGCATACCGAGCCACTCCCTACTCCAATGTGTCATACTAAGGAAAGTTGGATTAGGTTGGAAGGGAGTTCAGAAGGGCTAGACAAAGACACAGAATCGATCAATGAAGTCTTTCACTGTTGTTCTGAGCCGTGTGGGAAGATGTAGACTGGTCGGTTGAAGTCCCCAAGACAAAAGCAGTCGGTGGTTGAGGACTCTTGGTAACATAGGTGAATATCGGTCACAGTGGCGCAAATGTATTCACTCCTTGACGTTTTCTAAAGTTTGCATATTCATACTAATCATTTACTTCAAATTGTTTATTCTTCGACACAGCTTTGTCTTCTTCGGTGTAACTTTTTCTATCCACCTGCGTATTGTGTACTACTGTGAAGTATGGCAACTTGAACTTACGCACTTGTGTGCGAGGTCCTACGTTGATTTTGTCAGTCATTCAGTGAGTTCAGCTCCTTGAACTTTGATAATCTTTAAAAGACATGAATCTTAGCCACCATATCCTTTTAGAAACTATAATGTAAAGCAGAAGGTTTCAACACGATGCATTCAGCCCCAGGATTTTCCAGGATTGATTGGTCTTACACGGGTTTTCACCACTGTCTGATATCATTTGGGGAACCACTGAAAACTTGAGAGCACTGCAAAGCTGCTACGTCAGTCTGACTTAGTAGTTCTCAGAAATATGCACCACTGAATTCAGGATTTTTAAGTCTAGTGGTGAATACGTTATCACTAATCTTCTGAGTTAGGCTTCTCGTCGATTGTTTTCAACCTACTTACATCCACAAAAGTGTCGGTGATACTGAACCTGCTAGCCTGGTGGTCAGACTGTCAAAGGAGCATTGAAACTCTGTTACCCCTCAGGACTAGACAACATGGAATTGGTTGCCTTCAGTACAATCCAGCGGAAGGTTAAGCATGGTCTGTATAGCTGATTGGTAAGGTCATTGACCACAACACTAGGTGACAGGGGTTTGAGTCCCAGGATAGACATCAGCTGAGTCGAGGTTGCAGATATGCCTTGCCGACGATTACCAACAAGTACGGAAGCTAGGTTAGGTAGGTCTTCTTGTCAACCGCCCTCAACCAACTAAATTAATCCACATCTTTCTACTCCTATCAATGAACAATACTGCCTGATTGTCATCCAGTTACTCTTTCTACACATTTTACTACAAGAATTTCTTTCCGTTAGCTATGTAGTTCCAAATGATATGTTGGTTAATATCCAGGTCAGTTGTGACTTGAATCACTGATCAGTCAAGCCTCTAATTTAAACTCTGAATGAGATTGATTTGAGATTTTAAGGGAATATGAGTTTTCTGAAGACTGCAGATATTACAACAAGTACAAAAGTGAAATCCAGGGCTTCCTGTTGACTGGCCGTTATCCTATAACAAAAGTATCCTTGATAGTTTTAGTACGTTGATCAAAAACTCACACAAGATTTGAAACAGAAGTGAGTATCGCAACTGATCTAAAAGATATTAAAAGTCAATATAGTTACCAATGGTGAAATATATTTGGTAGAGAGAAGAAAAACCAAACCACTTATCAGATCTACACATTCTTATTCAGATGAAGAGAAGTCTGTTCACGAAAGTGGATGGATCCGGTTTTACCTCATCCCCACAAACTGACTTAACTAACAAATTAGCCATGAGAACTATAGCCAACTTTGAACATATGAACCTTAATCTGTAGTCCTCACAGTTATAACATTAATTGTACTGCGCATGTTCAGCTTAATTTTAAGCCAGTTGACATCTGTGTAGAATAAGTTATCTGAAATAAACTTGGGCATCGTAAATCGCAGCATACCATAAGTCTGAACTCCAGTGAACACAACTTTTGTTTGGAAGTTCGCTGGGATTTATTGACTTCAAGATGATATTTATCATGAACTGTCATCAGTTACAATGCCATTAAAACTCTTGAAGTACTGGACAGCTGTTTCGTCCTAGTATGGAACTGCTTAGCAGAGCTCATCCACAATCCCACCAGAAATCAACCTCAGGAAGCGGTAGCCCAATATTAACATGCTCACCGTGAAATCCAAACATCCCGTGTTCGATCGCCAGGCAGAGTTATGCTCACGCGCTATTGTGAAGTCCCGCATAAAGATAAAAAGGGTGTTCAGTGCTTTAAGCTTTTTCATGATTTCCTAACTCATGCCATTTGGAGAAACTAACTGTCACTAAATATCAGAGGTATGATCAGGAGGGCAGGATTTTAAAGCAATCTAGACTAATTCTACATGTTATAGCATGCGATTTCTCATTGTTTATTAAACAGATTCAATTGGATACTATTCTCACAAAGGCTGCTTCATGGATGCTTCAGTATTGCAAATAGCTTTGATACTAAGGATACTTATTAGCTAGCAGTGAACTCGAGGACATGCGTTCCTCCTATACGGGGGCTGCTCATTGGATGTGCCTGCCTCACAGTGAGTTATACTGCTTCCAATGAAACTTTATTCCATACTGATGGAGAACACACAAACGTCAAGTGGTTACTATGACTTAGGAATTGGCAGTTATCTGCACGTTTTACCAAGGGCTTATCAATTACAGTTGGATCAGTCGAAAAAAGTCATAACAGAAATGGAGTAACAGTGAAAAATTGGGTATGAGAAATCGAAACATGAAAATGAATTTGCCAAGTCATTATTTACCTGAATTATCTGACTTGTAATCTAATGAACGGCTATAGAACGACAAAATAATGCGTGAAGTGGTTTCGCACATAAAATCCTCGTTTCATATTGGATTTTTCTTACCTCAGGGACCCAGTGGAAAACACGTTGATGCTTGAAAAGATGAGCACTGAGTTCAAGTGTCCATGGAAACGACATCACTCAATAGCCTGCAGGTACATCAGCTGATGAGTCCCAAATAGGACCGAAAGCGGATCCTAAATTTCATAACTAGCCACTAACTTGAGGAGCTCGAAGAAGATGAACTTTTACAGCTTGCGGTATTCTACTAGATATCTTAGAGGTTATCGAGAAAAGACAACTTTTTCTGTACATTCACATCGGTGTTTGGAAGGTCGTGAAAAAAAGAGAAATTTTATTCTTTATTGATATTTTTCTCTTGGGTTCCTAGTGAAACATAGGGCTTCAGTAGTTCGTCCCCACCGCACTCTCTTCTCTGAAGTCACTTGAACCTGGCTCCACCACTGCTCACAAGCTTTAATTTCTTCCTCACACACCATCTCCTCCATGTCATCCTCTGCTCAGACGCCAACTCGTTGTCTACCCTTTGGATTCCACTCGAGGGCCTCCTTAGTGTATGCCCAATCCATCTCTACTTTCTTCGGCATATTTGTTGGGTTTTATTCTCTTTTGCTTCTGTTTAACCTAGCCATATCAGGAGATCCTTTTTACACTTTATTAAGGAGTTCTCATCGGTTTATCACAGACAAACTGAATTTATAAATACACATTGACATGCGCGTATAACAGTTTCTATCTTGCACACGTTGCAATGAGATACATCTATTGCAGGAAGTTAATCTCAGAGTGATTGTAGTAAATGTATCCGTCAACAAGTGCTCATATATGCTTGTAATAAATTAAAGGTTCATGAAAATGTTTCTTCATGACACATTTGAAGTTCACCAGATTGTCACTTCTTCGTATTATGTTATTTTTTAAAATAAATCTTTTTGATATTCATTCTTTATAAATATGTTCATCAGATTCTATGAATCTTTATTCACACACAGCATCAGAGTACATTTTACGGAGTTTCTTCTTTGCCACAGTTGAACAAAAATTTACCAGCGTATTTGATGCCCATTTCAAGATGGTTAATGATCAAGAATTCTGATAGTTTTCTTTCTTTGGTCTTGTTAGGAAAGCAGTAAGGCGAAAGATTTCATTCGAAGTTTCTAACTTGGCTGCAGGTTCTACTTCGGATTGCCTTTTTTTGACTTTCACTGGAAGAAATCAACAAGTAGTTTCCTAAGTGAGGAATGTATTGAATATCCTTCAGTTCCTCTGTACAAATAATGAAAGATGATAGCTAAGAAGCAAGAGAATGTTGAGCATACATCTTTAATAGTAGTCCCTTCGAGTCGATCAGAGGTGGAAAAATGTTCTATTTGTTTTATGTTATAATTTCTAAGAAATGTTCAACCGTTTCCACTAATGGAACATTCGGGAAAAGTGACTTATTACCTAGGGGAAACACAAGTGTATCCTATACTTTTTTTATATCCAATCACACCGACAAATTAAACAAGTAAGTCACTTCATCACAAGATGATACGATGAGCTGCACATGTCTAAAACTGGCCTCACTGTTTCATCACCATCTTTGTGAACTTCCTGTACTGTGTACAATTCGGGATTGTTGGTTCATCCAGATTTCTGGTGTTCATTTATTTCGATTGACATAAATTACCTTCTTTTTGATAAATTCAGGCAGTAGGCTATTTTCTTTTCAACATTCTAGATCTAATCACTAGTGTCTCGTAATTTCTGAAACTAAGATTCATCATTTAGAATCCCATTCAGTTTGTCAATGAAAGTGGTTCTGGGTAGAATTACTAGACACCTCCTAGATAAGGAGTTAAGACAGCTACCGTCATTTAGTCTCGTCATAATCAAGATTTCGCTAGACTCCAATCACTTCAATCCCACCAGAAGATGAAAAGCATTTTATATTCCGAATCACCATTGTACATTATAACTAAGCCAGATTTCTTATCGGATTTGAAGGTGACAATGCCAGATTTATTCCACATCAGAACACAGTCTTTTCACTGTGCGATATGATTTTCCCTGTTTTTTAAAGGAATTAGAGCGTTAATTAATTTGTTTACTAAAGGTTACTTGTGATGAAGATACCGCACCAACAACAACAACAAACTCCAGTCATCATCAACGGGAGAAACTTAAAGGAAGTAGCCTCCTTCACCTATCTAGGCAGCACTGTTTCAACTACAGGCAACACAGGCACAGACGAGGATGCCAAAGTCAGAATCAGAAAAGCAAGACAGGCGTTCACTAGCCTGAAACCAGTGTGGATATTTTCTGCACTCAGCACAAAGAACAACATCCGGATTTTTAACACCAACGTCAAGTCATTGCTTCTGTATGGTTGAGAGACTTGGCACGTTACGAAAGGGATTTCCAATAAACTACAGACATTCATCAACAACTGCTTACTCTCGCTACTGAAGATCAGATGGATTGCCAGAAAGAATGAGCAACAAGGAGCTCTGGGAACGAACCAACCAAGAACCTATCACTCAAGAAATATGCAGGAGGAAGTGGAGATGGATTGGCCATGTACTGAGAAGGCCGACTGGGGACATCATGCATCAGGCCAGTAGCTCAAGTGGAATCCTCATGGGAAGCGACGAGTTTGGCGTCCCAGCTGAGGGTGACGTGGAGGAGATCGTGCGAGGGGAAAATGAGAGGTTGTGGGTTGTCGTGGAGCCAGGTTCAAAAGATCTCAGAGAAGAGAGTTCACTGGAGACGTGCTACTGAAGCCGTATGTTCCACTAGGAACCCAAGGGACTAATAATAATAATAAAGGTTACTTAGTGTGTATACGTCTGTATAGTCACTTACCGAAACCTTGAATGAATTCATCCAATGTTAGTTGACCATTCTTATCTTTATCCAAAAGATTGAATACAAAATCCAGTTGTGAACTAGTCAATGGTAGACGATCACTTAAACGATCCAATGCTTGACGTGTTAGATAACCACAATTATCAGTATCACAATGACTAAACAAAAGGCGAGCTTGTTCAACAATATTTGAATTGCTTTCACTAATCATTATCCCCTTCGATACGTGAAATTTTATACTTTGAATAAATGTATTTATTTGTTGAACAGTCTTTTGGGTCAAGTAATGTTAATAGCAATAATATAAATGTTATTATACTATAAAACAATATGGATAACTTGAGTTTCGCCTGTGAAGGTTATGTAATGAACATTTGCTGTCTAACTGGTATGTTTTTACAAAGAACTATTGTAACTCGTAATGTTATTGAGCAATAACAAATCAACAGAGACACGTACACACACTCTACACATACATACAAGTCTGTGAATGAATATGCACATACACACACGTATATGCTTACCATGTGTGCTTAAGGCTTGAGCACTAGCAACAATGGAAGGTATAGTCCCCTTTAAAGAAATATACGTGATATTAGTGTTGTTGGACAGTGTTCATAGACAAAAATCCTTACAAAAATAGATTTCAGTTCTTACAAAAGCAGAAAACTCCAACCTATTATGTAGTCCTGTGAATGGTTTACTTTTAAACAAAAAAGTTAGAGGTAGATTATAAATAAGTAGTAAAACTAATTGGAATAGCAAATGCCAAGTATAATACGAAGCATAGAAGTGTTTTATAAAAGTACTTCGAAATGCCATTAATTTCTTTAGTATTGCTGTCTCGTTCTCATACTCATTCGCACGTTTACACACACACACACGCATACACATATCCACTCAAACACAATCATCTGACTTTATTTAGACCAGTTATTAACACAGGTTTACTAACTCTTGAAGTTATTTCAGTAAACTGGCAGAAGAACATAACGGATATTTAGCAATTCCTCAGTTCGATTACCTAATTATTTGAACATAGCGAACAAATGTAAGATGTTAGTTGGTTGGAGGCAATTAGCAGAAAGCCCTAAACATAGGCTTCATGCTTTTTGTCACTCGTCAGCAAGGTGTATCTGCAACCTCGACAGAACTGATGTCCCGCCTAGGATTCGAACAAATATACGATTGCCTGTTGCCTAACGAATGGTTCAGTCATGCTTTCAGTTGACAAACAGTAGTTTAGAAATCCTTATTAAGTCATTAAACAAAAAGACTTATGGTGGGAAGAGTCACTCTTTTCAAAGATATTATTCTCAAGTTGTACAATCGCATATAAATATTCTATTCCTATAGTAACAGAAAAGGAATGTTTCATGAAATATTTTGAATGAAGTTCAGATTTGATTAAAAATCAGGAGATCAGAATAAGTGTGGAATTACATCATGTTTGAAATAGTAATGACGAGAAAATTTATTAGGACTGAACTAATATTCGGTTACTAAGTTAAATGATGTAACATGGTGGATGTAAAGAAGAATTAGGATTATCGGAGTAGAGAAATGTATCGTGTGAGATATGAATGAAAAGATGCTTCAAGTTAAAGATGTTCTTATAGATTATGTCCACTGTAATTTGTGTGACTGGACAAATTTCTTTTGAAGGCAGAGTTCAGGTTTGAAAATATTAACTGGAGTGGCTTGTATAGTTTGAAGAAATTTCGGGCGTTCATCTTTCACGAGATTTTCACTAACTGTATAGATGACACTGAAGTTGTTTTCTGCACTTAGTAGGTGGTTATAGTCGATCAAATGTTGTAAAATAGATCTGTGAAGTGTTCTCCCCTCTCCTTTGTAGAACCAGGCTGTTTTGTGCTGGGGAATGCGTTAGGAAAGCGAATGATGATTACGGCCAATATACCTTACTCTACAGGATTCGGTGAATTGATAAACACATATCGAGTTGGCCAGTGCACTTAGCTTATCTGAGTTTGCCAGCATAGAATGATTTTCTGAATGATCATGCCAGACGGTTTCACAATATTTTGGTTCATGCGTCTCCGTTGAAACGTAAGTTCATGAGAAGAGGCTTCTTGGGATTTTTAGAAATGGGATGATTATTTGCACTTATTTTCAGTTTATTTTAAGCATTCAAACGCTCGTGATACTGATTTTCAATCAAAGCATTATTGAAAATACTAAATTCATCTTCTGATTGTACAGCTGGAGAATGATATCGCTGAAAACAGTGACTTTTTGCTGTGTCTTTTGTTTCGTGACAAACAGTAGTCAAATATCCTACAGGCTGACATCACATCACGAAATACTGAAAGCCTGTGAGTAGTTAACCGATGTTTCATATTATTTGGAGACTTTTCAGAAGTATTCATGCATGATAAGGGTTTCTCAGAGTTCTACCGACTTCGTAACTTGTTTGGTTAACAAAGTTGAATGGTAGGACAAACACTCGCTGATAGGATTAAATGATTGTCGTACTGTGTCGCAAATCAACAGAAGTGGTAAAGTGTGGACCATTGAATCCCAACTGCGGTCGATGAACGATAACAGTTCGAAACCCTGATCTCTACTGTTCATGAGATCACAACTGCTTCTTGTCAAGGTTTCCTAGACTAGGCCGAAACAGCTGTCCATTGCTTCTGGGTTTCCACTTGTTCTCTAGATGATGTCAGTCTATAAGGAATAATACATTGAAATCTATCGATCCTTACAAAATACCAACTATCGATCCCAAAATGTTGCTTTAGTGACGAGGTGATCGATCAAGGAGTGAACTTTACAGATAGTCAGCTTTAAAATATTCACTTTAGTAGGTATTCTTCATGGCGAAGACTTTGAAAGTTCGCCTAAATGAATGAATTCCAGAACGAAATAGCGAGAATAGAAACGATATTCTTCTCAATGAAAATAAATACCATTGGACATTGAACAGGAAGATTTTGTTTAATTATAAGCTAGATGTTTTATTAGTTATATCAGTAGAAGAGGCAGCTTTGTCTGAAAAAGTCTTCACTTCATCATACAATACAAATTCAACTCCTGGTTGTGTCGCCAGTAGGATTCTAGTACTGCAGCACCTTTGTCTTCAGATAAACAACTTGTTCATTTCAATATGATAATTAGTATTGTATCGCAGACTTAACAGAAGTCATCAGCCAACAATATAACTTTCTGTGTAGATGTCTTGATGCTGGCAGTGATTTCAGTTTGGTATTAATGGTGGATAGTGTCCAGGAGTGGAATTCAAAAACTGCGTTTCGTCTTGTGTCAGGATTATCGGCTGAATATAGCCCCGCCTCAACAAGTGATTTCATTTCCACTGAAACTAGAACTCAGAACCTGTTACTTCAAACACCAAAGGTTTACAAACTGGGTTGTTCAGTCACCATAGCCACTCCTCACTCAGTCAGTATATTTCGATATCATAGCTTTTATTGTTCCGTTGACTACTAGTCCGGACCTATCGGCTCTAAGTATTACATGACAGTTTCCTTCATCTGTTTTTTCCAGAACCGTATAGGTGGGTTATTTGATTTCACTCCGTACTGTTATCACAAATATTATGATTTCAGGAGGATACTGATTACTGGGTAATGACTTATTATTATATCAGAGAATGTGATCACTAAAAGATGAAACAATATCACTGACTTTTGATTACCCCCCCCCCCCTCGATTCAGACAGTAAACGATAGTCAAATGTTGTTGTTACTCTTCATCCCCTACTGCACGAACGTCGATGTGTTCAATGAAGAACAATTGAAATTTGAAATAAAGTATAGCACGTGATTGCTCCCAGTTGTTATCATTTGTAGATGAACATTTTATAACAGATGACTTCATCCACCTCAACGGCAATATCTGATATAACTGAGTTGTATAACAAGAAAGGTATTTATTAGACAATGTAGGCTCATAGTAGCTTCTTGATGTCTGTGGAATATACAGTCTGGAGGATGACTGGGAAGGGAAATAGGTAGGTAGGACACGGCTGCAGAATTTTACATAGCCTTAATCCAAAGCACTATCCAATCTTAATGCGTAGTTCATGCGACACACCTATTGTGTGTGTGAAGGTTAATAAAGCTATCTGGTAGCCCAGACCTTGGTAGATAGAGAGGTGTTCGGACCCAAAACGAAACCGTTGAAAGTCAAGTGCTTAGACCAGTGAGCCACAAGATCAAGATTGAAAAACTGAAAGTGATGTGAGAAATATCAACGGCGAATATGAGTAGTTACAAGCCACTAAGCGTTCTGGTAAGAAAAACATCACTTCCTAGGAGGCAGGTGAATCCAGGTGACGAGTCCTAAAGTGGAAGAAACGTGAGCTTCAGATTCCATTCCTGGCCACTGTCCATCATTAGTATATAGAGCTGGTTAGAGATACCACATGGATTATTGAGAAAATCTTTCTAGATTACTTTGCTTTGAATATCAGATGCTTATCTTGCTCATTAGCAGTCAAATTCACCAAGTGTATTACGTCACTGACGAAAAAAAATCTGATAACTATGTCCTTTAAGTAAATCGGAAACTGAAAGGAAGGTACAACTAGCTGATCAGTTAGAAATACAATGAAACACTGGCTCCGGATTCCAGTGGTAGTCGCCATCTATGATTAGTAGCAAAAGTGGAATAACCGATAGTATCAAGGAGTCTGCACAGAAGCCCATACTTCAGCAGTAGTGGAACAATGCGGTTGAATTATCAACGGAAAATCAGCGTCTATTACACTGAAGTACAACCACGATACAGGTAGTAGTAATCACGTCTTATTAACTTTTTGAATAGCGTTATGATGTTCTAAGTGATGGAGGCTGGTTTTGAATCTCAATATAGCCAACATCACTTACTGGAATTTGCGTATATCCGACTGATGAGCCTTAAATGGGACGCAATGCAAGTCTTGGATTCCACTACTACACACCATCATTCACTACTACCATTTTATGGAAACTATTCACCACCTTTTGTGGTGAAAGAATATTGAAGATGCCGAATAAGTGCAAGGAAAGTCTCAGTGAAGTGTTTCATTCTGGCTGAAAATTTTCGTGTCATTATCACAGTGTGTTGAATATTTTACTGTAAGTAGCTCGGATTACGCATATTACTGGTTAACCATATTAACTAGACAGTTTTGGGTTGATTTCAACTATTCAGCTTGGTGAACTAAGTTAATCAGTAGATTATACT